AAGTCATTATAAACAATTTATGAGATTGAAAATGAAAAACGTGGAGCGCATGCAATACAAAGCATTAGATTTAATTGACAATAGTCAAACTACATAACATAGACCTAAAATTTCTACAAAGGTAGTACAAATTTGAGATCGATTTTAAGCGGACGTTATTCATATACCCACATTCATACATATATTACTCTTCATATCAATTCAGGTCAATCTCATAAACTGTTTATAATGACTTTTGCTAAAATTTCAAAATGAAAAGTTATCAACACAAATTCTATGGGACTAAGATATATTATTTTCTAATTTTTAGTCCATTTATAAAAGCGTGGTATATTAAAAAGTTTTTTATTTTATTTTATTTATTTTCTACTTTTTGCTCTTATCTGTATAAAATTTTGCAATAGATATTAAAATAATTCAACTTGCAGTGAAAAGATAACAGAAGACTATGCAAGAAAAATGTTGTATGCTCACGTTTATTATATGCATACAATGTACATATATACATATAACAGCAATTAATTTCATTTAAGGAAATGGCGTGTCGTCTATTCCCGCTGTAGCGTATGTAGTGCATATTTTTAGGCGCAATATTTAACTTCTACTGGCGGGGCGACATCTACCTATAGAGTTTTTCTAATTGTATGTATTTGATATGATACCTACGGCGAGGTTGATATTTAGACCAGGTTTGCCATAAATACCTTTGCTATATTTGTAGTATAAATGGTGGTCTGGACCAGGGTTGTTGCGAATATTCGCATTCGCAACGGCGGAGCTTCCGCATTCATTGTAACATTCGCATTCGAATACTGAAGGGACCGAAAATTACAGGTATTTTTTTACGAGTTAAACTTGGCCAAATGTTTTTTATTCCGAAATAAAAGCATTTTCCGGAAAATAAACAAACCAAATTCAACAAGTTTGGTATCCAATGAAAGATGACTTAAATAAAATAAAACTTAAATGTCTAAAAGAGGAAAGCCACACATGGAACAAGTAAGAAAGTCTAAGTTCGAGCGGAGCCGAACATTAAATACCCGGCGCAAGTATTAAATATATGTTTTCCACCTTTCCGAAAGCTACCGCTACATGATAAGCCGGCGTGTATAAATTTTAAGTTAACTAGCGTCCTTAAATTTCAAAATATTGAAATTTCAAGCATTTCTGAAATTTATCGTTATATGAAAAGCGGCCGTAATTTTAATCCGATTTCAAAAATTTTCAATGGTTTACTTTTATGTGGCAAGCACAATAACCATACCGAGTTTGGTACAAATTGCTAGAACGGTTAGCGAGATACATATACGTGATCATAAGTGGGCGGTGCCACGCCCATTTTCCAAAATTTTATCATAAACGTATTTCCTGGCAAAGAATTGTTGCAACCATCATTTTCAATAAATTAGCTTTAATATTTACTGATTTATCGAGGATTTCGTATTTCTCGAAATTACCGTTATATGGGATGTGGGCGTGGTTATTGTCCGATTTTAAAAATTGTCAGCCATTTGGTATGCTGTACCAGGGCCAACAACTGTGCCAAGTTTGGAATAAATTGATGGAGCGGTTACCAAGATATACACATGTAACAATAAGTGGGCGTGGCTACGCCCATTTTCAAAAAAATGTTAATATTCTTATTTTCCGTCTAAAATTTATTATAAATATCAATTTTGAGTGAATTATCTTCAGTAGTTACTAAATATCGCAGTTTTTGTATTTCTGAAAATTACCGTTATATGGGAGGTAGGCGTGGTTATTGTCCGATTTTGCCCATTTTCATACCATCTGTCCTACGCCCGAAAGAAGTACACGTACCAAGTTTCGTTAAGATATCTTAATTTTTACTCGAGGTATCGTGTGCACAGACGGACGGACAGACAGTCACCGCTTAATCGATTTCTCTTTTCATTCTGATCATTTATGTATACATTTGTCTATATCTATCTCCATTCGTTTGCCTGTTACAAACAACCGTTATGTGAACAAAGTTATAATACCCTTGTGCACAAGTGCGCTAAAAAATTAGAATAAAAATATTTCAATAAAAAATGTTAGTTAATTACCATAGAACAAACATTGGGTCAGGTATGTATTTACATTAAGTTATAAAATATAAACAGAGGTGGTAGGTAACCTTCATTCGTTATTTCTATTTAAAAGCTATTTCAGTCCTCTTTCATATGATACCAAATTTGTTTAAATTGGATAAGCGGTTTCTGTTTTATCCGGATAGGACGCTTATTTCGGAATAAAAAATATTAGGCTAAATTTAACTCGGAAAAAAAAATTTGGTCCCTGGAATATTGTGCAAGTGCACAGACGTAAATCTAACCAGCCACTGAAGAAAGCATTAAAAATGAGTTACAAAAACTAAAATCGAAAAACGCTGACGTGTTTAAACAACGATGCTAGATTGTGAAGATGAAAGTCAGGAGGATACATCCGACATTTGCAGCCCCGATGAAATTCTCAAAAAGTAATTATTGCACCGCAATAAAAATAAATAAATATAACTGAAAGTCCTCTCAACTGATGCATTGTCAATCGAAAAGAATTTACAATTTTGCCAAGTTTCAAGTTTTTCAAGTTTGTCGCCTCGAGCGAGTAGTTATATAGTGCGCAGGTTTGATTTACGACCCTTCAAAAAGGTTTTATTAGGTACAATGTTCCAATTTTTAAAGTCAAGTACTAAAAAAACATTCAGTCTTATCATGAGTTTAATTTTTTCCGAACCGGTTCACTTTTGGTTTTCATGTACATATTTACTATGGGCAGAATACAAATTTTCGGGTGAATTTTTTTCGGCCAAAACTCAGGATAAGGCAGATTATTAAAAATTATTAACCTTTCCATTTTTGATTTACCTAGATCTGAAATAATTGATGAACCTTAAAGTTAAAGAAGGTTTTATTAAAATTTACCAGTTTTCGTTATTTTCTTAAGTGCTAAAATACATGAAATCAAGAATTTAATATTTTAGTTGAAGTAAAGAATATATGGCGGCCGCTGTGGTGTAGTGGTACGCAGTGCGCGTTTCCACTTTGCAAGGCCTGGGTTCAAGCCCTGGTCAAAGCAACATCGCAAAAAAAATATAGAAGAAAGGGTTTTCTTAACAGCGATCGCCCCTCGGCAGGCAATGGCAAACATCTCAGTGTATTTCTGCCATGAAAAGCAGCTTCTCATAAAAATACAATCGCCGTTCCAAGTCGGCGTAAAACTGTAGGTTCTTCCCCTTGTGTGACAACATCAAGGCGCACG